CTAGTAATTTCATTTGAGCCCTGGATGCAGCTCTGCCTGAAGCTGTCCTTGCCTTGGATGCTTCAGTTATGAGAATAGACAGAGGGGCTTCTGAGTGTCCTGGGTCTTTGAAAAGAGGGAGGGGAAGGTGTTTGCACAGGGACATCTGGTAGGGAGTAGAAATCCTGGGTCCCAGGCAGACAGACGTCTTCCCGATGGAAAGTTCATGGATTATATGCTGCAGCCACTGAGAACTGATGGAAGGTTCTAGATCCATAGCAATGAGAAAAAGAGGTGCTGTAGCTAGGGTGACCAACGTGGCCCGGTTTTCCTGGGACTGTCTGGTTTTATAACTGGAAGTCTCTCATCCTGGGGACCCCCTCTGTCCTGGGATGGTCGGGTCATTCATCCGAACCATAGCTCCTCCACCCAGGCAAGTGTGCGGCGTTCTCCTGATGATGGCCATCCTCAGGCACTGGCTGAGCCTCCATGGGATGGATCATGTCCAAGCAACTCTTCAAAGACTGGCCCCCGCTGTCCCCAAGTGTCCTCCCAATGCTGGCCTCTAGTCCTTGCCCCCCTTCCGCCTTTCTGGGCCCAAATCCTGCGGGTCCCACGTCCTTTTGTCTCCAGCTCACCCAGGCCAAGTGACTGTCCTCCAGTAGGTGGCGCCTGGTCTCTCTCAATTGTATTGTTACAATATAAACTCTTTCCCTGCTTTTCTTATATGATCACGATCGATCGATATAGTAAAGGCTGATCTCTCTCTCGAATCACAGTTCAGCTGGGGTTGGCAGGGTTCTCTCTGCTCTTCAGTTTGCCCAGCACCTGTAAGTGCAGGTGATGACACCGACCTGATTGTTGAGACAGGTGGAGGACCCCCAGTCACCAAGGTAGCAACTGGCGATGCTTCCCTCTGCAGGGGCCAACCTGACCCCTACCCACTTTGAGCCAAACAGCAAGTTTGTTCCAAGGTGGCCCTGAACCCGCCAGCAAATGCCTCACGTCCCGGATTCAAAACCCCTGCAGAGATCAGAAGTCACAGGAGAGCCTGCACATTTTATTCTTGGTGAACAGATGCTGGATCCAGGTGCTCACTCCTTCTAGCTTTCTGGGCTTCTGGGCACCCCATGCAACCTCGTCAAGCTCTGGGTGGGCAGTGGGGTCCTCATTCTCCCCCTGGGAAAGGGGGAAGCTCTGTCTGCCCTTCTCCAGGGGAGCCCTTGGCAGCACATAGGGGGCAGTCAGGAGGACTCCCCGGAAGGCTCTCTCGGGCTTCTGCTGGAGCTCATCTGTCTCTGACATCCTCTTCTCCCAGGTGGGCTCTGGTTCTCACTCACCAGAGCGTGCTCTGCCCCTCCCACAAAGGGGGGGGCTCCTCCCCACAACCCCCTCCCACCCCCTGACAGGGGCTTTGGAAAACCTCGTGCACAGAGATGATCTGGGATACAGACTCAGAACTTTCAACTGTTTGTACAGTTGTCCAATAGGAGTATTTCCCGAATGTGCTGATCTCCAGAGCCACCTGAGCGTTTATTCATCATGAAGATCCCCAGGCCCCTTCCCCAGGACATCCTGCAGACGTAGGTCTGGATTCATCCTAGGGGTTGGCTGGTCAGGCAAGCTTGGGACACTGCATTCAGGGCCCACTTCAGGTGGGCCTCTCTCCTTCATGAGTCTTCAATAGCTCCCCAGTGCCCATGAAATTGAGTCCATGCTCCTCAGTCTGGCATTCTGGCCTCTCTGTGTCTGAGCCCCTGTCTCCTCCTGGTTTCATCTTTTACTCTGCTCCACGACCTCCCAGCACCCAGCAGCCCTTGTTCATATTGTTCGATCACTTGGATTTCTGCTTCCCTCTTTCTGCATGTCCATATCACACTGTATTGGTTTCATATTGCTGTGTGGCCGATTGCCACAAATGTAGTAGCTTAAAAGGACATGCGTTTGTTACACCAAAGTTCTGTGCTCAGAAGTCGGGCGAGGTGTGGCTGGTTCTCTGCTTCGGGTCTCACAATGTGCAAACCCACATGTGGGCAAGGCAGGGGCTCAGCTGGTGGCTCTGGGGACTTAGGGGCAGAATTCAGGTCCTGCGACCGTAGGACTGAGGTCCCTGGTCCCTCGCAGCTGTCAGCTGGGGGCTGCTCTGAGCTCCTAGAAGCCATCGGAATTCCCTGCCACGAGGCCATAAGAATATTCTCTGCTCATCAAGGGCGGGTGGGATTAGGTCAGGTACACCGGGATGATCCCTTTTGACAAACTCAAAGTCAACTGATTAGTGACCTTGTCACACCTTTGCCATGTACGGGAATGGGCATGCTATCTTGTCACATTCACGGTCCTGGGGATTAGGGTGGGACATTTTGGGGAGCCATTAGGAATTCTGTTACCACAAATCCACTGCTTTCCAGGCCCTTCTCATGCACCTCACTACCCCAGGGGTTTGCCCAGTATTGCTGGTACCTTCCTCAGGGCCTGCTGTCCTCTGGCCTCGTGCCACACTGTGCTCCCCCATCGAAATGGGGACTCCCAGCATCAGGATGCGGGTGCTTTGCCCCATATCTTCCACTCCATGAGTCACAGGCCGAGTCTCCCTGCCGGTTGAGATGTGCAGCGGAAGGAGCCCAAGCTCTGGGCCTGATGGGCCTGGGTTCGAGTCCCAGCTTCACCTACTGGTGTGACCTTGGCCAAGCACTTCCTTCTCTCCCTCAGTTCCTCATTTTGTGCAATGAGTCTGATAGCACTGTTGCACAAGGATGCATGAGGTCCTGAAGTTGGGCACCTGCTCCTTATCTAGACTGTGCCCAACACACACTCAGTGTAACCTGAGTTGTGGGGGCTCAGAAAACACTTGTCAGTGAACCAGTAACAAGACGCAAGAGCAAGGCAGGAGAAAGGCAGCAAGAAGGGGGTGTGGTCCTGGAGACGGTGCTTGAGCTCGATCGCAATGTTTAAAGGAGTCGATGTCAGGTCCCTGCTCTCTGTGGCTTGTAACATTATGGGTCATGGACGCTGGCTGCCTCCTGGAAAATCATTTGTTCATTTGACAATTGCTTATCGAGCGCTTAACTGAGCAAGGACCAAAGCAGATGTGAAGATGGTCTCCATAGAGCTTATAGGCTGGTGGTAGACAGGGAGCAAGTAATGGCATATTGTGCTCTGTGTCACAAAGGGAACAGTAGATTGTTAGGATAGAGAATACCAGTGAATATGTTTGGGAGGAGGAATGTGTGGGCCCCTGCGATGTGCGGTACTTACGCTGGGGTCACACAGAACCGGGGAAGAGCACTGCACTAGAAGGGACAGTCAGTGCAAAAGCCCTGGGGCAGGAACGAGTTTGGTATGTGTGTTAGTGTGTGCACCCGTCTACACACACACACACACACACACACACACACACACACAGGAAGGGGAATCATAGAGCTCTTACCACCCCAGATTTCCCCCAACCTTGAAGCCATTCAGAGACTCCCCTGGAGACACCGAGGAGAAAGCACACACTGTGGAGGGAGCGACTTACAGGTCTTGAACCCAGCCCTGCTCCTCCTACCTTTGTCCCCGGCGCCGCCTCCCGCCGCGGCCAGCAGGGGGCAGCACGACGCTGCGCTACTGTCCCTCTCCATCCAGAGAGGCGCTGCTCTACCTCCCGTGCTCCAGGGGAAACTGAGGCACAGAGACAGGTTGAGACCAAGAACAAACCCAGGCGTCCTGCCCGCTCGTCCGCCGTAACCCTCCCTTCTCCCCGCCCCACCCTGCCCGGCTGCTTCTGGAGCCAACCCAGCCTCAGGTTCGGGATCGGACTGGGGTGGGCGGCTGGGGGTCCGCGCAGCCGGGGGCTCTGGCGTGGTCGCCCCGACCTGAGCGGGGAAGCCCCACCACCGCCCCACAGCTCCTGAGGATTCGCCCCGTGAACGGACACTGAGACTGGGGTTGGCGATTGTGGGGATGTGGGGTGGTCCCCGGACTCTGTGATAATAGGGTCAGGGACACCCCTCACCTCGCAGCCCGGCAGCCGGCGTGGACCGGAGGCCCGCGACGCCCCGGCCCCGCAGTGCCCGCGTCCCGCGTCCAAGCGTCCGCGATGTCGCCGCCGGGTGGCAGCATCCGCCCGTGCGCCCAGCTCCTCCCGCGGCGCCCCACCCCCAGCGGACCCGGCTCCGGCCGCAGGCCGACTGCGTGGGGCTCCGCGCCTACCCTCCGGTGCCAGCGCTCAGTTTCCCATTCTCACTGAACGGGACGTCCGGGGCGCTGGGGCTCAGGCAACACTGTGAATGAGGCTGCTACGGTCCCTTCACGTCTCTCTGTGCCTCAATTTCCCTGCCTGTGGTTACTCTCCAACGCCCTTTTCATCTGGGAACCCTCCCCATCCACCTGGCCCGGTAGAGCGGCACCACCGGGCCTCGGATCCAGGGGCCGAGGAATGGCCTGCGCCGAGGTCCTGGCAAAGGTTTAGGGAATTGAAAATGATTAAGAGGGAATGGGGCACTTAGTTGAGCAGGACTGCAGGGGTGCGGGTAGGTGGGTTCTGAGCTAGAGTCCTCCTGCCCCGGCTTGGCTAGGTGGGACCCAGGGTGGCTGGAAACAACTGTCCTCGCCCTACGCCACCCCAGCGAGTCTCGGGTCTGGCTGGTCCTCGGCAATTAAGCACCTCCCAGTTCCATCCCCTCGCCCAAGAGTGGCAGGCTTGAGGGCGTCCAGGGCTGTGAACCCGCGGAACAGCAGAGAAGCGTGGCCAGGATGGCTGTAAGGCGGCGGGTCACCGGCCTGCCCCTCAGGACAGACAGAGCTTCCAGGGGCTGTGCCAAACTGAACCGCTCCGGGCGGGCGAGGCACCGCGGCCGGGGAGACCTCGCGCTCCGGGCTCTGAACGTGAACACTGAGCCGGGGAACTGCCAAGGAGACTGAGCAGAGGCAGTGGAAGAGGCGAAGCAGGGAACCCCTGGGGGGGGAGCTTCTCCCAAAGCCAAGGGGGGCCCTCAACATCCTCCTATCCGTCCCCATCATGGTGCTTAGTCCAATGGCTTCTGCAGGATGGCATGCGAGCCATCCGCCTGCATCAGGTGAGGCCTGTCTGTCCCTTCCCTGTCCCCTCTGAGGTAGTCTCTCTGGCAGCAGTGCTCACAGGTGGGGGTGACCCTGGGTGCTGGGGGAGGGCTCTGATCCACGTCTGCAAGGGAGGCAGCAGATACTTGGGTTAAGGGTGTGGCCCAGGAGGACCCCAAGCGTATAATTGGTGGGGGGAGGGGAAGCGAGCCAAGAATGGCTATGGGGGTGGGTGGTCTCTGCCCTGCCACCCCCACCCCCACTAGAGACTGGAAGCCGAGGGTCCACCACCACCTGTACCGGACGTTCTCCCGCACCCCACCCCCACCCTTGCAGGCGTAGAGGAGCGGCCAGCCCAACCGCAGGTGTCTCTTCAGAGACGCACCCTCCCCTGCGGGCCGCCCCCCCAACTCCCCGCACCCAATCCCCCTCCCCCTGACCAGTCCCAGGAGGCTGATCGGAAGGAAGCGGGCCTGGGCAGGGGTGTGTGTGTGTGGGGGGGGTGGTGGATGTGTTTGTGTGTCACGGGGGAGGGAGGAGAAAAGGGAGGGGAGAGCCCGGGAGCGAGGGAGAGAGAGCGCGCGGCGAGCGAGGAGGGCGGGCGGGAGGCGGATCCTCCTACCTGGGGCGCGCTCGTTCTCTCGCAGCTCGCTTGCCGGGGCCGCGAGTCACCTGGGGAGGCGGACAAGTGCGGACACATTGGCCGCCGCGGCGCTCGGCGAGGCGCGCACGGCCCCAGGCGGCTGCGCCCAGTGGAG